GCTCGTGCGCTGCAGTACGCTTGGGGGTGCGACACACGACGGGACCTTTGACGGCGCACTGGCGTCGATCCTGCGGATCGAATCACCGACACTCGAATCGGTCCGCAAGCTCAACCTGCTCGTGCGTCAGTTGATCGACATGTACCATCCCAACATCGCCTCGTTTTTCGGCGTCAGCTGGAAGCTGGGCAAACCGTTGTACGTTGTCACGGAGCACGCTGTGCACGGAACGCTCGCGGGGCTGCTGGCGTCCGACGCGGACCTGAGCCTCGACCTTATTGTACACATTCTATTGGACGTGGCGAGGGGTATGTTGTACCTCCATTCGCAGCCAAAGCCGATCCTTCATCGGGATCTGCGCGCTGAAAACATTCACCTCATGTACCCATTCATTCACGAACATGGCCATGAGATCTGATATGTTTTGTTTTGATTAGGCACAATCTCAAGGCAAAGGTGGCAAATTTCGAGCTCAGCGGCAAACTCGGACTCGACACGTCGCTGGTGGGGACGCCTGCGTGGACGGCTCCCGAGATGTTGCGAGGCGAGAAGGACTATACGGAAAAGATCGATGTCTACTCGTTCAGCATGCGTACGTTGCACGATGTCAGAGATACCATGGGACTCATGCTATTGTTGTGTCTGTAGTGATGCTCGAGATCTTGAACCGAAGAGCGCCGTATTCGGATGCTGCACTGCCGCCGCGTGAGCTTTTGCACAAGGTGGCGCATGAAGCCTACCGACCGAGCCTTTGTGAGCGTGAAATGTGGCCGACTAAGCTCGTGGAGCTTATGGAAGCATGCTGGCAGCACGATCCTGCGAAGCGCCCCGCATTTGCTGACGTAGTTGCGGTTCTCGACAGTATTCTGTCTGAAAACTGCTAAGAGCGTCTCGGTACACAAGGCGGCAGCAATCGAAGCTGTGGCACATAGTCGGCGTATTACTGGATTCGAATGGGTCCAGACTCGATGATACGACATCGTTTCAGCAGTTTTGCTAGACTGTGATCGACGATAATACGACTAATGTGTACCATACTCGTGCGCCTTGAAGTCGCACGTATCATCGGAGTTTCTACTATTTGGGTGGCAATCGCTAGTATATACAAGGTATCCAAGCAGGATAGGAGCAAAAAGGGTCTCGCCTTGTACGACGCTCAAGTGGGACAATAGACGAATTGATTGCGCGCTAGCCATTGGGAGTGTCGTGGCGGGTTGAGATCGACAAGGCAAAATGCAATATGTCTATCTAGCCTACTATCGACTCTTCGCGTCTATCCGGACGGCAAAATCTCAACTTCCTTGCTGCGCCTGGAAGTACCACATGCGCTTCTGGAACTAGATCTGTTTGGGCAGTACGGTGCCGATAGTACGTACAACGAAGGAGCCGCCACGTCAGCCCGAGGTGCACCAGATCTGGAGACGTGGCAGTTTCTCTCTGCTGCATGTGACAAGCGTGATTCATCAGCCAAGAACAACCTTCGTTGGGCGCGCGATTGCTCTCTTCGACGGGCTTGTTGACCTATCAACCTTTTTGACGGTCGTCTCATCAGAACCCGCTACCGGTAGAGCCTTCATCAAGGCATGACCCATGGTCCAAACAAGTAGTGCGCTGCAGTGCAAGGGCGTACTCTTTAGATGAGAGATCGTTCCACCGGTGGGCTGTGAGGCGAAATGAAACATGGAGCTCTAATATGTGGAATAAGCTTGCGCAGAAGGTCAAGCGCACAACAACATAGAAGAGGAGATGTATAGAAGTTGGCGACTAGAACCTGTTTCCGATGTGATCTTACTAACGAGCCACGCCGCTCCCAAAGACGGTACGCTGTCGCTCTGTCATTCTTGGACAACTCGTCAGTCAACCATCCCTGCCTTCTGGCCGCTCTTGCGCGCTTGCGTCTGATATTGTCTTTGGCTCGCAGCAACCGAGTGTGCCGCACGACGCTGACGGTCCTTCCCGCTGCTGCGCGCGATCAAACCAGCTACGATCACGCGATTGCATATCCGACACTTGGCCCGTCGCGCCGTAGTGCCATCGCTTGCCAAGGTCGCTATCTCGTTCCACCCACAATCGCGAGCCGCGACCATGTGCCCTCAGCTTGACGCACCGGCCTTGCCACATGAGCGCATTGTAGGAAGTCCGCCATTTTCATCTTTAGAATGGCTTGTACATAACTCATTTCAACAACAACGAGAAAGATGACGTCGGATGCACCTCAAGTCGTCCAGCTGCTCGATGTGCTCCAAGACGTATTCATTCTCCGCGCTGATTGGCTGCATGTGATGGACGTTCCGGATTGGTCGAGAAAGGCGGCATGTGATTGGCTCTTGTCTGCGACAGGCCAAAACCTTGACGTTGCCAATCGCCTTTTTTTCTCGATGATGAGCTCGGGCAACGACGACGACAACGACGACGTTGGCTGCCGCCGCTAGCTCTCATCTCATGCTCTCTGGTTGTAGGTGCGCCACCGCTTCTTTGCAGCGTGTGCCAAGGGCGACGTGGCCACGGTGACCGAGACGCTCGCGCTCGGCGACGTCGACGTCAACGAGGTCGACGAAGATGGCAACGGCGCGCTCCTGCTCGCGTGCAAATACGGGCAGCTGGACGTCGCCCAGCTTCTTTTGCTGCATCCGTGTGTCGATGTGAACGCTTTCAACGACGTAGATGCTCCCTACGAGCCAACCACCTCGCCAATTTATACATCTTATTAGGCGGGCTACACGCCGCTGATGGAAGCGGTCGATGCGAGCCACCTCGCGCACGTCGCCGCGCTTCTCCAGCACCCAAGCATCAACGTGGAGGCGACGGCGCCGGTTCACTTTCTCATTCTTCTTGCGATATCGGAGTTTTCTTAGTTTCACAATCTAGGGCGGGTCGACCGCCCTCATGCTCGCATGCATTCAAAACGAAGTCGAGATTGTGGCGCATCTACTCGCGTACCCCGATATTCAAGTTCACCACGGGCTCGAGCGCACGGGCATCACACCGTTTATGATGGCGTGTTGCCAAAACAACAAGGACGTCGCGGCGCTCTTTGTGTCCCGACCCGGGTTTGACATCAACGCGACCGCGCACGAGGTGATGACCTCCATTTCTCTTTCTATCTCGATTTGAAAACGCATTTGAAACTAGGGGATCTGCGCCTTTATGCTGGCCTGTGCCAGTGGCGCCGTCGACGTCGTGTGCTTCCTCCTCGCGCAGCCGCGTCTTCGTGTCAACCAAGTCGATGCGGTGTGTTTGCCTTCAAGATGGGAAAAGCAGCAGTATTGTGATCCTAGAACTGCAGCACGGGGTTCCTACAAGCCTGCCGGCGCGGCCAGACGGCGGTCGTCGAGACGCTGGTCGCGCACCCGGCGACCGATCTCCGCGCGACGACGCAGGTCTGGATAATACGGTACACGCTTTTGTAGTCGGACATGCCACGTAGAACGGCTATTCGGGGCTGCTACTGGCGTCGGACGGAGGACACATGGACGTCGTCCGGCTGCTCTTGCCGCATTCCGACATCAACCTGGTCGATGCGGTACGACCTCTTTGAACCTCCTCCACCAAGTGCCCACCGTATTGTTTAGAGGGGCGTGTCAGTGCTCATGTATGCCGTGCAGCAAGGTCGGACCGAGATTGTGTCGCTCCTCCTTGCGCAACCGGGGCTCGACGTCAACCGCACCGATAGCGTAAGCGGTTCCGGTCCCTGATGAAGTAAGATGACACCATGTTTTGCAGACTGGACGCTCGGCCTTTCTGCATGCATGCGAACAAGGCCACGAAAATATTGTCACCCTCTTCGTCAACCACCCGAACGTCAACGTGCAGCAGCGTAGCCAGGTACGTTCATTCACGCCAACGCTTTGTACAGAGTCGGAACGGAGATAGGACGGCTGCTCGGGCTTGGTGCTTGCGTGCGGCGCCGGCTGGCTCGGTGTCGTCGAGTGCCTCTTGAGCCAAGCAGCTATCGACGTCTCGACGAAAACCGAGGTAGAGACCGTCATGGTTGCTTACAAACGACACGCTCGATGAGCAGGGCGAGCCGACGCCATGGCTTACCGCGTGCAGTGGCGGCCACGACGCCGTGCTCCGCTACCTTGTGCAAGCGCTGCCGACACTCGACATCAACGAGACGGATCGCGTACGTTTCAGTGTCCAGTATCAATGTATCAAGTGAGAGGAACTAGGATGGCAACTCGGGCCTCGTGCTGGCGAGTGCGAACGGGTATCCCGCGACCGTCGACTTTCTCTTGGATCTGCCGCAACTTGACGTTCATCTTGCCAACCAGGTATGCGCCGACCTCGACTTTCTTGCTTGTCGAATAGGTTGTTGAACTGTTGCGTAGATGCAGCAGTCGGCACTCCACGTCGCATGTTCAAACGGCCACGACGCGATCGTCGCACTGCTTTTGCCGCTCGTGTCGCCCGAGACGCTCAACGCGCCCGATGAAGTAGGTGTTTGAACGGTAGAGCCAGTACGAGAGGTGGGTAGGACGGCATGACGCCACTCTTGCTCGCGATCGCCGACAACCACGATACGATCGTGCTCCAGCTCTTGGCCGAGCCCACGATCGACGTCAACGCGCCGGACGCCGTACAATAAACGGAACGCCAGAGGAGACGACGTGCTTGTGTAGGAGGGGCGGACGCCTCTCATGGCCGCGAGTCTCTTTGGCCATGGCGAGATTACGCTCGCCTTGCTACGGCACCCGCACGTGCGCATCAACGCGCAGGACGAGGTCGGCTACATGGTGGACCACTGCGCTTGCAAGGATCATGGTTGGTACTGTTTAGGAAGGGTCGTCGGCGCTCTACTACGCGTCGGCCCTCGGGTTTGTCGACATTGTCCAAGCACTGCTCGACGCGAACAAGGACATTCAAGTCAATGCCACGACGCTGGTATCCTAGCGAAGTCGGACTCGGAATGTGCTGAGAACAAGCTGTGTAGACGGGGATGACGCCGCTCATGGCCGCCATGGACCGCGACCACGACCGCGTGATCGCGACGCTCCTCAAGCACCCCGACATTGATGTACCCGAGACCGCTGCCAAGCTCGACCCTGCGCAAGCCCCGTAATAAGCGCTGAATAGCCAGTACACTGGCGTTGGGCATGGTGGATAAACAGCAGGCACAAGTGCCAAAGCACAGCTTTTACAATGGTCCATACGTGGACCAACGAGACCATAGTCAGTGGACTCGGACGTACCAACGAGTGCGCAAGGCACCACCTGGGCACTGGTTTCTGGCGATATGATGCCTTCTTTGCATCATGCTTCCTGCGTGCAGACAAGGTGGCGCGGTTGCTGTGAGGACTGGACCACAAAGCCCGACGAAAGCTGTCCATCAACAACTGGTCCGAGGCACGCGCCTGTCTCTGGCCGCATTGCGAAGCAAGGAGAGACTTGACAGTTCAGTGAAAATTAGATCTAAATAGACTCGCTTCAACAGCGACCTAGGGACTTTGGGTCCCACTCACAACCCTACAACCCTGGTCATTGCACTCCTCAGCAACGAAGTTGAGCCCAGTTGCCTCAGATCTCCTGCGGAATGGTGTCCGGTGACCATCCGGCCTTTCCCACATTGCCGAAATTTTTAATGGCCTCCTACCCGGGTCCGATTGCATATTTTGAATACAAATTCCAAGGTAAAAACACCACTAAGAAAATCAGATGGGTGGGTACCCTGCAAAATCACATCAGCTGGTGACACGCTAGCAAGGAGCTGCATTTGCCAGTCGGCGCGATGAAGTTCACGTGGCCACGCCTTCTCAAGGGACCCATGGCGCAGCGCTTGACGCTCGTCGGCGTCTGCGCCTACGTGCTCGCAGTCACGGCTTTCTTCATCGTCCACCATCAGTACACGGCGACGACCGCGCAAAGGTAGTACCGATTGCAAGCGCCTCGTACGTCGTGTTCACCCTATCCATAGCATTCGGCACGTCTTGGTGGCCAGCCTTGCGCCGCTGCGGCACGCCGACTGTAGCTACCAAACAAAGGAATTTTCTCAGCGCTACGAAGCGATCTATGCGGCTCCGCCGTCCCCGCCGGCGTCGCTCGAAGCCCTGCGACGGTACCTTTGCGTGAACCATTGAGGCCACCATGGCTCATCCTTCTCTGCGTAGCCACTCGGATGCGCAGGCGCAAATATCGTGGGCCAACTGTCTGCCCATGCGCACAGTAGTCTGCGGCGTCACCGCCGGGTCGCAAGACTCGCTCTTCACGCAATCGCCGCCGTGTCGGTCCGCGGTTTTGCACCACCTACTTGTCGCGACTGCCGCTGTACGTCGCATGTACAACGTTTCCCGTATCTCATACAAAGGTGCTTCTTGCAGGCCATTGAAGAGCGCGGCTATAACGCCATGCCGATTGGCAAGGGTCTCGAGCATCTCTGGCAACACGGCGCGCTGCCTCCCAACGCCACGGCCATTGACGTACGAACGCTTACCCACTCTACTGCTGCTATCGGCGCAGGCTCATGAGAATTCTCTTAGATGCTCACGGACGCCCCGAGCGATCTCGCTTCGTGGTTTTGGGCGCGGGGGTTTGCCCACTTTTTTGACAAGACGGCCGGCCGCGCGGTCACATGCATGGCGCCTCACCACACGCTCGCGACTCTTCTCTACGCCGACGAGGCCGTTAATGCGACGTCACCGCACCTGCGCTGGTCGCGGATGCACTCTGTCGATGACGTCTTCATCGTATCACCCGAGAAGAACCACGTCTACGAGCAGGCGCACTTGATGCCACTGGGCTGTTTGCCGCTGTACAATGCGTCGATCCTTGCACCGTCGTTGCCCGCTTCGTTCTTTACAGCGGGGCACAGTCGACCATCCAAGCACGCTGACGAGATCGATGCGACGTACCCGAACCCCAAGTGCCAAGTCTCCTGTGAACACGACACGCCGGCGTTTCAGCGCGACGTCCACGCCAACGTTGCGCACTGTCCGCTGCGGAACGATGCCGAGTACAACGCGCGACTTGCCGGGTACTTGCGCCAGCCGCTGCCGCTGCAGCTCTCGCCCGCGCATGCGCCGTTCCTCGC